CCGTATGTGGGCATGTGTACTACGCATATGGGCGTATATGGACATGTGAGCACAGTATGTGGTCATGTGTGCATTGTATAAGAGCATGGGTACATCGTATATCAGAATGTGCGCATCGTATATGGCATGTGTGCATCGTATATGGGCATTTATGTTCCATATGTGGGCATGTGTACTCCGCATATGGGCGTATGTGTACTCCGCATATGGGCGTTTGTGCACCGTATATGAGCATATGTGAATCGTATATTTACATGTGTGCACCATATATGAGAATGTGTGCATCGTTTATAAGCATGTGTGTATCGTATATGGGCATTCATAATCCGTATGTGAGCATGTGTACTCCGCAGTTGGGCGTATATGCGTCTTATATGAGTATGTGAGCACCGTATGTGGGCATGTGTGCATCGTATATGGACATTTATGTTCCGTATGTGGGCATGCGTACTCCGCATATGAGCGTATGAGCACCGTATATGGGCATGTGTGCATCGTATATGAGCGTGTATGCACTATATATGAGAATGTGTGCATTGTGTATAGCATGTGTGCATCGTATATGGACATTTATGTTCCGTATATGGGCATGTGTGCATCATATATGAGAATGTGTGCATTGTGTATGGCATGTGTGCATCGTATATGGACATTTATGTTCCGTATATGGGCATGTGTGCATCATATATGAGAATGTGTGCATTGTGTATGGCATGTGTGCATCGTATATGGTCATTTATGTTCCGTATATGGGCATGTGTGCATCATATATGAGAATGTGTGCATTGTGTATGGCATGTGTGCATCGTATATGGACATTTATGTTCCGTATATGGGCATGTGTGCATCATATATGAGAATGTGTGCATTGTGTATGGCATGTGTGCATCGTATATGGACATTTATGTTCCGTATATGGGCATGTGTGCATCATATATGAGAATGTGTGCATTGTGTATGGCATGTGTGCATCGTATATGGACATTTATGTTCCGTATATGGGCATGTGTGCATCATATATGAGAATGTGTGCATTGTGTATGGCATGTGTGCATCGTATATGGACATTTATGTTCCGTATATGGGCATGTGTGCATCATATATGAGAATGTGTGCATTGTGTATGGCATGTGTGCATCGTATATGGACATTTATGTTCCGTATATGGGCATGTGTGCATCATATATGAGAATGTGTGCATTGTGTATGGCATGTCTGCATCGTATATGGGCATGTGTGCCTCGTATATGGGCATCAATGTTCCGTATGTGGGCATGTGCTCTACGAATATGAGCGTATGTGCACCGTACATGAACATGTGTGCTCTGTGAGTAGTATGTGTATTTCGTTGCCGATAATTCATGGTTCTATTTTAACAACAATAAACGCATCTCCATAGAAGAAATTTGTTTTATCTCTGTGATCACGGTTCATGCGGTTACTAAAAAAGAATGTAACCGTGCTGTGATGACATGTCTCAAAATGGCGAACATCTATACAAATAAAGTGAATGCTGGTTTTTAATAAAGGGGCCATGACGACCCTTAATATATTGCAAGTATTAAAATATTAATAAAACACATAAAAGGAGAAATAACAGAAATATATCAAACTTTCATTTCTTGCAACCACACACCTATAACATAAATACTAACATAAAAATGGCAATATAACCTCTATAGAGTCCGTAATATATGACTGCTGCTTGGCAGAAATGTGCGGATTGTTTAGTTAATTCGTACCCGTAATACAATTCCTTGCGACTAACAGTTGTCCTACTGCGCATGTGCAAGCTGAGTTTATTGCTCAAATCGATGTCTTACACTGTATGTATTTTTATAAGAGTTCGTCTCCGGTATGAGCAAGGGCATCCATATACTCTGGACGAGGGTGTCCCGGGGCTGGGCAAAGGGCTTTTGGTCTGACAAAAGAAATCATGGTCTTTCCAATATAGCCACACCTCAGAACGTATATCGGGACGGCGAATTCAATGAATATAATTTCAATTTGTCGACATAAAAATCATTGATTGATAAAATAAGGTTATTGTGCTCCTTTCTTTTCTTTTCCGTATCTGACGTTATACTTTCACGACAATTTACCCGAGCACGATAATACGAGGCATGACGCGCTACCATGACAACGTACAATTGATCATAGCTACCACCGTCGAGAAATTAAGCTTATCTGTATTGTACATCCAGTTTTTGAATAATTCCAACAGTTTGCCGATCCGAGAGCTTGTACTCAAGTCGCGGGAAATCATATCGTGTTAGGAAGGTCAGTGGATAGCGGCGTCGTTAAAGTGTTCGACATAAAGCACTGCATGTCGTAAGAATAGTTACCACGGACCTATAAAACACGAGTAGGTGTTGTGGTTATGAGTACCTCATTAAGATCAAGCCTCAAACGATGGGCAATTGATATTATGCATGTACTTTAACGATAGTTCGTTAATTCAATTAATTAAATTGGCAGACTTTTTAAATCTTCAGACAAGAATTCACACGAAAATTCATTTATGTGCTTCATAACTCATACAGTAGTTTTACTATTAACAAAATACACGTTTTTGCGTGTGTGTATTGCTAGCACATCGCAGGTTATATTTTGCATTTTCCAGTTGTCACAACGTTTCTCTAAAACTTCTACCTGCATGGTAAGATTAAAAATGTGTGAGACTAAAGTACACCAACATTCGATTCATTGAAAATATATATTTTTTAATGACCACAATTTCTTTCAATCCAAATCTGCTGTTTTACGATGGCACGTTTATCGTTTTATTCACAATTCAATTAGTTTTTATAAATTAAGCAACGAATCACGATAAATTCACTGAAGGACGTTTAACTTGTTTGCGTTTGAATTACCAAGGTAATATTCTCGCGTCGATAGGTCACGTGACTGTTAAATAAACACTAAAACACGCAATTAAACACGGCATCAGTGACTCGCGACTCAGAACAGTATTATCGATTGTTTTGCACTTATTAAGCAACGTGTAGACATGACGCTAACATGATGGATAGTCGTTTACAGCAACAATGACTGTGGTTATTTGAGCTCACTGATGACGTCATTTATTTATAAATACTGATAAGAGCTTCTCGCGAGCACAGAGATGATCAATGCGCACTTATCGTGAAGCACGTTTCTCGTATTTAAACTGCCACTCAACAGAATTGAAAAAAAAACTACAGAATTATTGATCAAAAGGCCCCAGTATGGATTCCAATTATCAACGTCCGAAATTAAAATGGCTATCTCAATGACACAGAACTACAGAAGCTGATTACTTTTCTTTGTAATAAGCAGATTATTTATGTCCACACGCTCAAAATCCAGAACAAATTAAATACTGTATAACGACTAATTTTCACTGGGTTTAAATCTCGCTGATTTACCATTTCAGGCATATTCAGTTGGTTTTAAATTCACAGTTTTATCATTTAGACAATGTGTTCTATGCTAAATTTTAGCGCATTTTCCAGTCAACGAAATAAGCAAAATTAAAACCTAGTGAATAATTAACCTTTTACAGTAAGCACAAATGTCTCCGTATCTCAAACATTCATTAATATAACGGTAACGATCGTAATTTGCCTGTCCCAATCTCAGCTAAATAGATGAGAAAACTACGACCACTATCACCCTGGTTACTCCCGTTACGACAGTACCCATAATACACCAGGCAGTATGTAGTAAGTCAGCTCGAAAATCCTTGGAAACAGTTTCCTGTACAACGGCATTTGATATTTTTGCATTTAGGTGGAATCCCAGCGTGGAGTAAAACGGTTTACGAAAACATACACATAACGTGTCATTAATAAGAGCTTGAATCCTTCGTTTAGTAAATTGTTTGGTTTCTATATTCATTGCTTTTGTCCAGTGTTCCAGTGTTTGCCGCTAGTCACACACATATCGAAGAAAGCGATGATTATTACAATCTTAAAGAATTAAATCATTGCGTCTCGAACAGATTATCCCTCCCGAATTGCAATTTCCTTAATCCGCAGTTCCATTCATATGCTTAGTGAAAAATAAATCTTTTGGTTTCTAGATTGGAACGTGCATTCACTGCGGTCATTGCTTTTGTATTCACATCCATATTGCGACCCTTTGAGCTATTAAATCCCCTAGGTTACGTATTAAATGTGACTGGGTGGATTTGTTTAATTCCCTGTTAAGCACCTGTATTTGTACTCAGGGGCTTGCACCATGTACGACTTCGAATCTTAAAAACTATTATCCGGCAATAAATTGTTCAGTAATTCGCGCTATTATTGTCACTAATCCAGCCAATGGCAGACTCAGTCGGTTGTCATGGTGACGCCACAGAAATCCATGACTGCTGTCTCACAATCACATTGGTTATAAATCCATGTGTGGAAATAAGGTGGGGGTCAACAATGGGTTGTCTTGCAATACTTTAGCACAACAACATAGACGTTCTGCTTCACTGTTTAGTAAAACACGAATAGTACATGGACCGAATGACCGCAATAATGACAACTGGTATTGTCTGTGTGCTGTGCAGTGTCGCTAAATAATCTTAATGTTATCCCAACTGTAGGCCTTAACCCGTTGTAGACGCAAACCACCTGCTATGTACAGTCATTTGCCGGGCATGGAAAACCCTTTACTATACTGACTTGCTCCGACAAATATTTACATTCAATCAGCTGACATCAGGTGGCAAAACAAAATAATCACAATTGGGCGAGAAAGCACCGACCTCCTCGACCAAATGGTGATATTTTTTTACAATTGTAGGTCAAATTAATGAGCTGCGAAAAAGACGTGTATCGCACGGCGAAAGAATGTTACACGGGCACAGCTTTTCATAAAGCAAACATAATTATTTGTTAACAATGTCGCACACCGTGAAAAGCAAAATATAATTAAAAAACCGTATTTATAGACGAATAAATGTTGCCTTTTCCAAAGGAGTGTCGAAATACTGATTAACAGTGAGTTTTACTAGCCACCTTCGCTGTCTAGCCAGCTGTGCTACCTTTTCCGAGCATGCCGGTCAGACTGGGGAGTTTTGAACACATACACGTCGTCGATATTTCTTTGCTCTTTTTTCGTGATCGCCTTTTATTGTAAGCACCTTTCTGCATGGCTCGTGATAGATTGGTCGATGTGACATTCTTCGGCGAGGAGACTCGTAATATTGGCAGCATAAGTCTTTCGTATTTCTTACGATTGTGATAGGCAAGGCAGCAAGAACAGTATTTATGTCCCAGTACATCGCAGAATTCCCTGGCCTCCCCTTCGCACACGGGGGAGCCTTTGCATATCTTCTTGTGGTCGGGGCTCTGGCACGTGGATTTGTGTCGGTGTTTCTCGTTACCACTACCGTTGCCATCAGCTTCTTGGACAGTTTTATTACTAGTAACCTCATTTTCTTCGACTTCTATTTGTTTTTCCTCGATCGGAGGCAGTTTGAACGACACTCGAGTTTTTTCCCGCTTACTCGTCTTCCGCGGTAAAGGCAGTTTTCGACCCATCGTGTCAGTCCGTGTCTTTTCCCGGTTACAGATCTCGATTAATTTTTTCTCTTGTAAAATTTCCACATTCTTTGGCTTAGCGTCCTCGTGGATAATCGGTGGCATGATTTTCATATCTTCGTCGTCGTATCGGCGGTCGGAGTAGAGAGTATCCCTGTCAAACTCATTACTATCAGACCCATTCATCGAACGAAATACAATCCGTTTACGCCTGCTTCGTGCGTGCGTTCGAGGAACCTTCCACACAACCTGTTGTCGTCTGCTGCGCTTGCGTGCAACTCGCATCTTCGGGTTGCCAATGACGAGGTATTTAGAACAGGGAATCATGGGTAGTTTCGTCATTGGCACGTCAATTCCGTGATCAACAATGCTGCGATATGGCTCCGAAACTCCGGCACTTTTCACTTCCATTTTGCTTTTTATAAACTGCGAAATATATATTTCGGCTGAAAAATGAAAAAAAAAAAAAAAACATATCAGCAATTGAATTCAAGTTATGAATGCAAGTGTGCTTGTAATTCGCTTTCGTTTAAGAACTTTTAATATATATATATATACTTTTTAATATACTTAGTACTAAGAAAGAAACACACTACTAAGTTACATTACAGCACACGCAAAACGACACGTTTGTGACTGTATTTTCGTCGAAACGGAATGTGGAACTGAAAAAAAAAATGCCAGCCAGACTTAAGTTTTTCACAATTCATTCAAATGGTTCCTCTTACCATACCAACGTGTTATTTTGGGATGAATCCGCGTGACTTTTGTATAGTAATTAGCATACAGTGATAACGGCACAATTTTTTAACAGTTATTAACGATATATTTGAATTATTTGACTGCACCTGAAGTTCGATGACAGTTATTTGAAGCGTTTGGGTGTGAAGTGTTTGTAAGTGATGATGGCAGTCTGAGACGAAACAAACAAACAAACAAAAAACACTGTGTGTAATTTAGAGGTAACATCCATCCCTCCATCAAATACGTAGGTTCCCCTGACAACCAAATAGTTTTCCGTGCCACGTACGTATCTATGGAAGCATTAGCGGTACAATATAATAACAAATATATACTTTAAACAGGTGTGTCGCTTCGAAGCTGACAATAAATAGGTTTCACATGCAATCTACCTGTTTATAAACGCGGGAATGGAAGCGGCCATTTTAAATTGACTTTAATATTGACTGATAACAGCGAGCTGTTGAAAAGTGACCAAGTCATGCGTACACTCTAACTAAGCATCACTGATTAGACACATATTTATCCAGAGGTTCACGCGTCTTGGTGACAAACAATGGCGCACCTGTATCATTACATTTCGATAACCGTCTATGTTTACTGGCTTCGCTCACGGACAGCGCTCTGAAATAATGACATAATTGGTTGCAGTTCAAATGAAAGTGAAATTACCATTCCTCAAATATTGGTTATTTAGAAATTACGCTGTGGTGTTGTCATGGGGATGAAAAAAAACTCTTCCTAATTGGGTCCGTGGCGTCACACTAAATTCAATAATAATTTTAATTAATGTTATCACTGTATACCCTTTGTGTAAAACAGCACATAATAAGAGCAGCCGCAAATAATATCGATAGTTTATATTCTCTATGTATCAATGTATACCCCACCAATTAGGTCGGAATGCTCATTTAAAAGACAGCCCTCGTGTTTGAATCGTTGTATCCAACGAAAATCCATTTAGACTTGTATGCTGTGTAGCTGTTGAGTTTTCCGGAATGAAATCTGAGTTCAATAACTGGATAATGCACACAATACAGTTTCCATTGCGAGGTCGTTTTGAAGCGGTTTCGTAAATTCAGCAAGGTTGGTCTGGCTACATTGAGTTCATTAACATTTCAATGAGAACTCATTATTATCGCCGAAAGATATTCACAATTGCATTGGCACTAAGAATTGGAGTTGGTAACAAAATCATTGGACCGAAGCTACTACTGCCTGTAGGAGGACCCTTGGGTAAACACTGACGCTACCTTCAAGGAACAATGAGTTCTACTTTTAGGGATACTGTGAATTTCGTGAAGGCATATATGTTTTTCATGCAACATATTTATAGAAGATTATCAACTGACCGTTGAAACCAACTTAACCACCAAGATACAACGCCATAAGGCATGGCGGAAAATTGGGTTATTGGCGTTACTTCTTTTGCCAATGAAAGCATATACTACAGAGTTAAAGAAGCGCAAGTATGCGGGGTAGATGTTTTATAAATAATTAAAAAAAGAATTCTTGAAAACATTCACGAATTTATGAAATTCACAGTATAATCTGCAAACAACAACTTTTAGTGAGACCCATTCCCGAAAAGTGAAACCAGAGATAATGAAGATTACTTTAAAGGCGTTCCAAGAAAGCAATGTTTCAGGGTGTAATTTGCGGCTCATTTATATAAGATAAAATTGTTTATTACACATCACATCACATGTATAGTGGTGAACTTGAAATACTCATTGTCAAGGTTGGGCTCACATGTTTCACCTAAGTGAACCACTCGGGCCATTTTGTTCATACGAATTAGGGATGCACGTATAAACTTTGGTGGAAAAAAACATTTATTCACGATCTGCTGAAAAACAGTGTTTTTAGATCGATATTAGATCGATATTAAACAGGCCCAGGACCCGGGCCATTGTTCAGACTACTGAGATCGGAAATTCTCAAACAATTATTGGATAACTGTTGAGTTTTTAGATCAATATTTCCAAAGTCCAAAATATGATTCAAACTCACGGACACGCCCCACCGAGTACCTACTCTTAATGTTTCACACCGTCATTTTAAAACACTAGATTTTGCAGAATTTCATCTAAAGATTTCAGACTTGGTCATTTTTGTACCATATTACATAAAACAGTTTGTGATGCTACCACAACAGAGTGAATTACATTTGTAACAATTCTAATAGTGGCGTGGAACCTTTAATTATTTTAATAATATTATTATTCACGTGTATGGAACGCAGTGCACACATATGACAAAGATGCCAAGTTATATATTCACCACAGTCCACATAGGAGTTCATTTTGGTAGGATTGTATTATCATGGGAATACAGCCACCAAACATCCCAACGAAAAGATAAGTATGCAATTATAAATAGTCGGTCCCCAGACGAACATACATCAATGAATACAGGGCAAGTAATTTATCAACGATATAAAGTCCTGTGTGTTGGCCATGTATTCACGAGACGTCACGAAGCCACGCCAATTATTTCCGCTTCAGTGATAAAGCCACTAATGCATTCCCACCGGACATTATCTACCAGTTGACGCCCTCTTGCCGTGTATCATTCTAATTTCAATGTCTTGGTTAATTCGTCGGTATTATTTTGAGGACGACTTAAAATGTGTTAATTGGCTGACCTCGCGCCTTGTCCGGGGTAATCTGAGTTTAAATAAACCCGCCTTTCCCATTCAAGTAGTTGTCGTACTGGGATCCCGAGATCAAATCTAGTATGGGGCTAAAAACTAATGGGATCAACTTGATCCGCCCACTAGTCCGCATGTTAAGTGCACGGAGGTGCTGTGCGGTCTAAGTCATTGTCAGTTAGATGTTTAATAATTGACGTGAAAATACGATAGGGGCGCCGTTCACTTTTGATCCCTTAGACTAGTCTTTCATCTATAAAATACTTAATTTTGATAACGAATTAGAAACGAATGACGCCACAAGGCCCAGAAACTAACGACATTGTTTACACCCATCTACTTCGAGTGCGTGAATTTGTATTTAGGTCAAGTTCTTGGATTTCTGATTTCTCTGTCATTGCCATATTTTACGGTCACCCAACTCTCATTTTACCCCTCCACGGTATATGTACGAAATCCCCCTGACCACAACTAGGACTAGGACATGTCACTTTATATAATCCTAAAGACGGAATTTTGAGCTACCATGTAGTAATTGTGTATGTGATTTGCGCATATGAATGCCAAAGAAGACAACAAGAACTTATATTGTTCAGAGCTTACGCTATGTCATTTGAATTTATGTGATATTGACTGACAGAGTCAGGGAATCGAATACCTATCTGTCTTTAGTAAAATCGGGACACTAGCAGGAATCCTCATGTTTATTAAAATTGGTGCTTCTCTCACATACACGTAACAGCATCGTGTAGTAGTTGGTTACACATAGTCGGCCAATCGTATCCTTTGTTGAAATTCTGAGTACGGGGTATTATTAGTCTGACGGTGCGCCCTCCACGGTGCTCCAAACCCAACACAGTTCAATGTTAGTGAAGTCTGATGCCGTTCGGCTGGCGAGGGCGCCACTCACGCCTACATGTCAGGCAAGGGGTATTTCACGCCTGTAAAAGCACGATTGTGATTGGTTGAGAAGTAGATATAATTTATGCAAAAGCCGGTCTAAAATACCATTAATTTTTATTATGTAGCATACATTATTTTGTGGTAGGTACATAACGCGTAATAAAGAACATTGAAGCATCGGGTATTTGGGGTTCAAAGGAGAGCCGTGAGAAATGTCATCAGAATTACGCAAATTACGCCCTCGTGGAGGGAGGGGCTCCCAAGCATACCAACAGAAAGATGCAGCGTTAACATCTTGTCCATGAGCTGCCCATTTTTGCTAACAAGAATCTACTCGAATAATCCTAGCAACGCCCAAATACGAGTGCGAATTTGTGAAACCGCTCTATGTATCTATAATCGCTGCAAACTGGTTTGAGGCCAATTTCATTTAGAACATTTCAAGAGCTGTATATCGTTGGAGCAAGGTTTCGAATGTTTTAAAATGTCTCAGAATTTTCTTAAAAATGAAGTAGTTATAATGTAATAAAAATAAACTCCCCAAGAGGCGAGTATACCGCTCAATTTTCAGTTGTTTATTGTGAAATTGACACTAGTTTTTTTTTTTTTTATTTCACAACTAGAAGTAGTTGATTCCAAGTTAACCGCAGTTTATTCCAAGCTAAGTGTAGTTGATTTTAAACTAACCGTAGTTGAATCACGACTAGTCTAGCCGTAGTTGATTTGTAACTAATTGTAGTTGTTTCGTGAACAGTCATAGTTAATTTGAAGCTTGCCCTTCTGAATTCGACACTAGCAGTAGTTGATTCGAGAATAGCCGTAGTTGATATGTAACTAGCCGTAGCTGATTCTGATTCGCTACTAGCCGACCGGTCACTGGTAGCATAGTTGTTTTTATATCAGACTCATGATCGGTAGACCCAAGTTCAAATCCTACATTAGGCTGAACACTATAAAGAGTCGACCCCTACCCTGGGTGAGTGTGCCACAGACTCAATAGGAAGGCCAATTCCACTGGCCGAGATTCATTCACTAATGAATGCGACTTGGGAATCTTGGTTAACCGTGCTTGATTTCGACCGAGCCTGGTTGACGCCAGGATAGCGCATTAATTTGCCATTTGATAGAGAGATGGTCTTACAGCCCTGA